CGAATATCTAAAGTTTAGAACACACAGTTAGTTCCTACAAATCAATGAGAAAAGGCAGTAATCTTAATAGGCAATAAACAAAGGAAATAAAAGGACTCAAAAAGACAATGAGAGTATTGAGAAATGCTCAAACTCTTAAGTAATAAGAAAATACAAACTAAAGCAATGACATATCACTTTATTTCTACATATTGGGGGAAGAAAAATAGAAAGCTGGATAGTTCTGAGGGCTGGCAAGGGTGTGGGAACTTTGGATGTGCGCGGCTGGTACAGAGCAGACTGACCACTCTAAAGACTGGCTCTGCTTACTCACTGTAAGTATAAGCACATCATATGAGTCAATAATTTTGATCCCAAATAATTTCTCATGAAGATTTAAGAGAATGTTGGGTGAATATGTCTATGACAGCATTATTTGTGCAGACTTGGGGGTGACTTGAGGATACTTAGAAGATAGAATGGATAAACAAAAATAGGTAGGTGCCTGCCATGTGATACCACATAGTACTTAGAAACAGCAGCTGAGTTGTACCCATAGCCTGGATCATAATACTATAGCAAAAACTTAGAACTATTTTAAGTAATAGAGGAAGAATTTGGATTCAACAAGCATTTGCTGCAATTGTTTAATTATATTCCAAAGAGGTATAAAATCATTTGATTCAATCTCAGCTTTTAAGAAAATCTGAGTGCAAGTGGTGACAGAAATTAGCTCACAAAATATAGACTATCTGAGGGTACCGTGGGGTTGTGATGGCACAAGGCACAGAGAGATGGATCCTTGTGGTGGCTCATACAAGCCCTTGATTTGGAGTCAGAAGGAATAAAATTAAAGTATTTCTTTGCCACAGGACCCTAAGTGAATGAAGTAATCTTTCTGGGTCTCAGTTTCCAATAGTATAAAGTCAGAGTATGGATGATATCAAACTGGTTTCTTATAAGTTATAAATAAATTGCCTATCACATTTTAGAAGTTTGATTGGTGTATCTATAGATAATATACTAATAATTAAATTGAATAAATGATTCACAGAGGAGGGAGTTTTGAATAGAGTGTAGGATTCCAGTTACAGAGAGAATGTAGAAGATAACTGTCATCCTGAAAGGTCACAGATGGAATGAGCAGAGAAGATGAAGGAGAAGGTAAAATGAAGGGGTGTATGTGAAAGTGGTGTATACATTCTTGGCTACCATGCATTGACTATTATTACTAAGGATGAAAACAATAATAATGAACCTGTGGTGGACACCCAGAGGGGAGAATAATGAAACGCCAGATTGGAGAGACAAAGTGAGCAAAAATGAGCAAAAACAAAGACCCTGAATAGCAGGCTGAAGAATTTGAATTTCTCCCCATGAAAAATAGAGAGCTACTTTGTAATCCTGGAAGGAGACAGACAGGAAAAATGTCATTTGATCAAGGTAAATAAAGGATGTGGTGCAGATGCTAGTAAATCGGAGAAGGAGGGCCGAATCCAAGAGACACTGTGGAGAAAAAAATAGGATATGGAGAGAGGAAGGGAGTAAAGAACGGAGAAGTCAAAGATAAGATGCTGGCCCTGAAGACCCGAAAAATACAGGAACCACTGACATAACTGTGGATAATCAAGAAAGAGTACTTTTGCCCCAACTGATTTTGAGACGATTTGATGATGCCTGGTGGAATAAATTGGATAGTAGGAATAAGAGTATAGCTGGAGATGTAAATGCCGCCGTAATTAGGTTTGAGATGAGAAGCTGAGTGAAAAGTTCTCAAAGAGTACACATAGGGCATATGAGAATTAAAGTTTGGGTAATGGGCACAGTGTACCACAGGTGTCACTATACTTTGCATTTTTGTGTTGACATTCATAATGTCTTTCATAAAAAATGATATAAAATGAAAAATACACATTTTAAAACCTAAAAACGGGAAAATGACAAGGAACCAATAACAATACTAGTGGAAAAGTATAACATAATTCAGACTAAAATAAAATAAAGAAAAACGCTATAATGATCTTCCCAATGTTATTAGAAATATGCTGCAAATTTGCAAGTGGGCTGTACATGTCAAAGAAACCAGAGATAAAAAAGAAATACCATCAGCAGCAATATTTTGTGTGTCCATATTAAAAAGAAACTAAAACTTCAGGAGAAAGGTGATTAATAATTTATGTGTTAAAGAGGGAAAATGTGAGGAATCGATAAAGTATTGAAATATCCAAGAAAGGTGAGATTTACATACATATTAAATAAAAAATAAAGATCATAAAATAGTATTTGAGGAAATTATTATACTTAACTAGTGAGCAATTCAACAAAAGCCAGCTTGTAAAGAACTAAAGAAGGAAAGACCTGAGAGAAATAAGAAAATATAAAAGAAATATAGAGGAAAATTCAAGGGAAAAAAATAATGGGGGAGTCATGTTTCTATTTGAAGCAAAAAGAGTACTACTATTCTTTATTACTGAAATGTCAAGGAGAGTAGCTCACGTATTGCATTCAATACAAAGGACACATTTTAAAAACAGAGACCAAGAATGATAGAAGAAAGAACAAGATTAAGAAAAAGAAATCTTATTTTCAAAGTCCAATACTTAACGTCAGTTCATTTCTATTGAACTATGAATCCACTGCAGGTTTTCAAAAAGAAATAAAGTGCATGAAATAGAGAATAAATCATTTTTATATATGAAAATTGGTTTAAATAACAAATAATTTTCAACATCTAACAAAGCCAGTATCATCTGTAGTAATATGAATGCTAACAATGGTATTTGGTGCACTACATGTTTCAGGAAGGGATAAATCACCAGCTGCTTAAATTCTCCATGTAAGAAAAGTTCTATGTTAATTTTAAAAGGTAAAATATACTTATGCTTCCCTTTTTAATTATAAACAAAGCCAGGTGTGAAAACAGGATTTGAAACAGTGAGAAATAACCTTGCTAAGTCTCTGTGTTAAAAGTAGAAGAGGTCAATTACATAGGAAAATTATCTTTGCACCTGGTCACTTATCAAATGTTAAATTATTCTAATATTGAACATTGAATATTGATTTCATAGAGTATAAAAACCACTCTAATAAGTCAAGCATTTTGTAATCTGTATCCAAAAACCAGATATGGAGTCAATTCTCATGTAAAATATGATTATAAATATGTCTGAGATCAAAATTTCATCTATTATTCTCCTACTTCTAACATGTATATATAAATGAAATACCTATTATCATTACAAAATATTGCTGTTTTTTTCAGCCTTTCATGTCAATTACTTTGTGAAAGAATCTTGGAGGAGAATGAATAAGTACCTGCTAAACTTAGGGTGCTAGGACTCAAATTTTAAGCTGGAAGATAAATAACCACAAAACAACATTTGAAATAAAATAATAAAGTAATTTAATATTCTCTGAAAGAGATATGCTGTTTCTGATTGAATATTATTTTTCTAGAACTAGACTGGATATTATATAAAACACAAGAGAAATATCTGTAACTTGAATATGACTTCAAAGTACTTATTATTCATTGGAGTGATAAGAAATAAAGAAAGCAGATAGGACTATAAATGAGCAAATTAGAAATGTGACTACATATTTTCATGGATACTATATTCTAGACAGAAAAGATAAATAAGTGGAGAGCAAGAATATTTGTAACACACTCCATTAAAGAAGAAAGATTTGAGCTAGTAGGTCTTAAAGTATATCCAGGATTTTTAGGGATGAAGAGGGGAAAGTACTATCTAAGTAGAAAAGGCAATTTGAAAAAAAGTTTGATGTCTGGACTTTTAGCAGCCTTTTGAAGCCTGTACATCCTTTTTCAGAAAGTTTTAGAAGTAAAAAAACAATAAGAAAACAGTAAAAAACAAACCAGTATGTATATATAATGAATCACATATTGAAATGCAATTATTGAAATTAAAAAAGACTTTGGATGGAGTAATATATGTCCTTTACGTCCTTTTTTTTTAATTCGTTCAATAATGAGGCTGAGCAGTGAATTTAGTGACTCCCATTATTGAAAGAGAAGCGGTTTTCAAAGCCTGAATGTAAGTGATATTTTGAGATATTGGCAACAACTTTAATATGATATGAATAGGTTTATTACTTCTCTTAGAGACACATAGTGCTGCTAATAAATGGTCTGTGGACTACATTCACAATTGAAAAAGATGATAACTTTCAATGAGAGGTTAAAGAAGTGTAATATTCTCCCCATGAAAGTTCATGGGCCTTTCAGTTCTAACCATGTACCTCCAAGAGTCCCTCAGAGCCAGACCAAGGATCTGGAGAAGACAGAGGGAGGCCATCATTCATAAAGCACCTGATGGGTGTGGGGTACAGGAACAAGTTCTTTGTTATTCTTGCAACATGCTGTAAGTCAGACATCATTCTAATGAGCATTGATACTTGAAAGGAAACTCAGGCTCAAGAAGTTGTAAGTAGCCCGCCTAAGGTTGCATACATAAAGAGTGCCAGGTTCAGGATCAGAGTTCAAATATCAGATTCCACAGCCTTCCTTTGCTTTTCCCACTATGGAAATATGATCTAGAGAAACAGCAGAATCATTTAAATGAACAGTTAGAAGACGAGCAAAGCAAGAGCAAAGAATTGTTTTCAAGAGTAGAAATACAGTTGGAAGCAAGGGACAGGGCCAAACTTTGGAGGGTTCTGTAAGCCATGCAAAGAAAGATATAAGTAAGTCTTTTCGAGCACACAAAAACAAGCCCCTAGGGAGGATGACAATGAAAGCAATATTTAAGGGTAAACACTCTGATCGATTGTAACGTGAGGATTACTCTAATAGTTTCGGTCAAAGATTCTGGAGTAGGTGTAAAATCACACATTATATACTTAAATGCCTTTTCTAAAATTAGTTGAATTATTTTATTAATTTTCCAAAGGTGTTTTTGGATAATTTTCTCAAGATCTATTCTGAAACATAGCAAGTTAAACAACACACACACAGAGCAGCACTTGCTATTCCTAAACATTACAAAGTCATATCTGCTTACCAACGCTGGTGCAGCTTTCACCATCCACATCCAGCCTCCACCCTTCATAACAAGAGCACTTGACCACGTGCTTGTGCTGCTCACACACTTGACTGCACTTTAGATGACTGCTGCAATAATCAATAATTTCACACGTTTTATTGTCTTTGTTGAGTTGAAGTCCTTCAGGGCAGGAACAGACAATTCCTCTTCCAGGAACAACAGAACAGTGGTTGCTACAGCCTCCATTGTTCAATGAACATTCATCTGTAAAAAGATTATAGGGCATTATCAATTGTTTAGCTCAGTTAAATACTAATCATTTAACTCAGATCTCTCAGGCTGGAATTAGAGCAAGGGTTCATAAAC